TTTCTTGTTTTTTCATCCAATCCCTCTCCCTTCTTTGTTTTTTTGTTTTTGAGCTTTAATTTTTTTTTTTTTTTGTGTTTTTTTTTTTTTCCCCCCCCCCCCCCCCCCCCCCCCCCACTTGCGCTGCAGCGGGGTAGCTAACATTAATGTCGAATAATATGGTGACGTTCGGGGGATCGGGGAGTTCTGTGTTGAGCTCCAGCAGCAGGCGCTCGTAAATAAATAGCAGCTCCATCTTTCACACTTGAGCTCTTTTCCAACTCAACAGGGAATCTATAATTCTTTGGCCGCATTTCACCAGCCGAACTACCACAATGGCCTCAACTGTTGGAAAGGTGAGCAAAGGCGCTGAAACTACCCCTCCACGACCTTGCACCCCACCATAATTTAGTTGTTATGAAGCTGATGAGAGAGGTACTGGATGCAGACCATCACCTGCAAGGCTGCCGTTGCCTGGGAGGCTGGCAAGGAGCTGAGCATCGAGGATGTCGAGGTTGCTCCTCCCAAGGCTCACGAGGTTCGCGTGCAGATATACTACACCGGCGTCTGCCACACGGGTGAGTTGCGTGACGGATGCTGAGCTTTTGGCGAGTTGAGAAAATGCTGACCGCCATAGATGCCTACACTCTGTCCGGCAAGGATCCGGAGGGGGCTTTCCCCGTCATCTTGGGACACGAAGGAGCTGGTATTGTCGAGTCTGTTGGTGAGGGCGTCACCAACGTGAAGCCCGGTGACCACGTCGTTGCTCTCTAGTACGGTCGTCTCACTCCCGCTGTTTATGATCTGCGTCAAAGATGGAAACTAATCAACATGCAGCACACCCGAATGCAAAGAGTGCAAGTTCTGCAAGTCCGGAAAGACAAACCTTTGCGGCAAGATCCGAGCTACTCAGGGCAAGGGCGTCATGCCTGACGGCACCAGCCGATTCAAGTGCAAGGGCAAGGATCTCCTTCACTTCATGGGCACATCAACTTTCTCTCAGTACACCGTCCTCGCCGATATTTCCGTTGTAGCTGTTCAACCCGAAGCCCCCATGGACCGAACTTGTCTCCTTGGCTGCGGTATCACCACTGGTTACGGCGCAGCCCGCGTCACTGCCAAGGTGGAAGAGGGTTCTAACGTTGCCATCTTTGGAGCTGGATGCGTTGGCCTGTCAGTTGTTCAGGGAGCTGTCGTCAACAAGGCCGGCAAGATCATCGTGGTGGACGTCAACCCGTCCAAGGAGGAGTGGGCGAAGAAATTCGGCGCTACCGACTTTGTGAATCCTAATGAGCTGAAGGGCCAGACTGTCGTTGAGAAGCTGATTGAGATGACGGACGGCGGCTGCGACTATACGTTTGATTGCACTGGTAACGTCAATGTGATGCGTGCTGCTCTAGAGGCTTGCCACAAGGGTTGGGGTGAGAGTATCATTATCGGTGTCGCTGCTGCTGGGCAGGAGATTGCCACCCGCCGTGAGTTAACCTTTCTACTCTGTCATTAACAGTTTGATCTCATCATACTAACTCGGATTCTTTCTTCCAGCATTCCAACTTGTCACTGGCCGTGTCTGGAAGGGCTGCGCTTTTGGCGGCATCAAGGGCCGCACGCAGCTACCTGGACTTGTCAGCGACTACATGAGTGGAGCTCTCAAGGTCGATGAGTTCATCACGCACCGTAAAACTCTTGGAGAGATTAACAGTGCGTTTGAGACGATGAAGCAGGGAGACTGCATCCGAGCCGTTGTCGATGCGCGGACCCTATAACAGAATGAGCTCAAGGGAGACGCCAGGTCAATGGACCGGACATAATGTCAAACTGTAAAATAAAAAGATCATAATTGCATAATGAAAGAATAAGATAGTCTGAAGATAAGAGACTGGGGTGGTCAGAATGCCAGGAGCCAGCTAGTAGTACCTTGATGGTTTACCTTGGTGGAGAATAATATGCATATGGCTAGTAATACATGTACGTATGATACACTGCAGGTTATGCAGCCTACAACATTTGAATTAAATAAATCTGACTCCCTCAAGATTTTGAGATCTATCATCGTCCCGATCAGCCGACCGACGAAAGAGTATAGAGCATAGTTAGTTTGGTAACCAAGAAGTACCTAGTAGTAATGTGAATTGAACCTAGATAGGCAAGGTGGGTAAAAAGGCGGAAACCGCGAGATGTAGATACACATACAGCTGGGAATAAGAATACTAGAATTAAAAAGAGTCATCTGATAAATGAAGGAAAAGAGATACAAGGAAATCAGAAGAAGCAGTAGAGGTAGTAAAGGTAAGATACACTCGTTTCAGTACATATATAAACCAATGTGTAATAGTACAGTTGTGTACTACTACATACTAGCTGTAACATTTCCTGTTGCTTTGCTCCCCAATCGGCAGTGAAGAATCTCCATTTACAGCAGATCTACGAAGACATCTTTAAGTGCCTCGACACAGTATTAACCATCACCAACCATATACAATGCTTTTCACGTTTATTTACATGTCTTACTCTTCTTTTCTTCTACTATGGATAGAGAATATAGTGCCTCTGTTTTGTTCCGTTTAGCAAACGTTGACGGGCTAGCAAACCATCTAACCTTCTTAGGAGAATTTGCAACGCATAGAAATATCTCACCGTCGATGTCGTATAGAGGTTAGTATAACAGTTTGTGGATCTTCCAATTCACTGTTGACCCAGGTTCGATTCCTGGCATCGACACACCTTGATATAACATCTTTTTTTGCTGTTTTGGTGGAGTCAGGGCTGAGTCACGATACGCTACCATAAAAGTCTTATACGCTACCATAACAATCATCATGCTTAGTAATGAGTCAATAAACTAGCACAGATTAGTGATAATCATAAACCTGTGACGATCAAGTCATTCTTACAGAATTCAAAAAAAAATTCTGCAGTTAGTCTTGCTTTCGCTCATCCCGAGAGGCGTGTTGACTGAACGAGAGAGCGGATCTCGGGATGACGACATGGCTGTCACTGCCACCATGCTCAATGGCCTCACCTAAAGCACAGTAAATTTGGCCGGCATTTCGTACAAAACTCGGCAGTTCCCATTGGGGCAGACACACCACCACGAGCGACAAGCTCGGAATGCTGAGCGGTGCTGATTTCGGACGTTGCGCCGGAGGCGGATCCGGCCGGCAGTGAGAACAGGCAAGAGATAATTCCGGAAAGCGCAACAGACAGAATTGCCAAAAGCGGCGATTTACATGGTGAGAAAGACGAAACCGAATCGCACCGCGTGCAGCGATGCATGGGAAGTTTCTACAATGTGTGGCTATCCGTATACCACAAGAATGCACTGCAAAGTAATATCGACGACGGTAATTACTCTCCGTATTAGCTGCTGGATTCTTTACCCATATATTATTTCCTGCGCTACGGAATTGGCTACTTAACAGTCATGCTCACAGAAAGGATGCGTTGGTCGCAAGGTATGATTTGATTATCCAGGGTCCTATGCGCTCCCTGCAGTGAAGCGTGCTCCATTAAAAAGCAAAGATTTTTTATGCCAGCACTCATCGACCTGTTTTGCACCTTGCTTGCTTGGTGTTGAGCCTGTCTGGCTTTGAAGATCCCTTTTTACTAGTGCATAGTACGCCGTGAGACAGCTATTCAAGAAGTATCCAGCAGTAATACTTTGCACTCAGCAGTACCTGCGACCTGTCTAATTGCTGCTCGAGGTACAAAGTACCAAGGGGCCAAAGACGCTCATTTTACTTGAGAGTCGTCAGCGCTGTCAGCCTAGAAAGCGGTCGGGGGAGCCTGGTCCAAGGACTTGCAGCGGCTACGTCACAGCCAGTAAAACTCCACCAGGCGAACCAAGTAGGTACATACTTAATTACACTCGATACCAACTGATGCTACCTACCGTTGGGGGAGCTCCTTTGTATGATGAGAAGCAATGTAATACGAGAAGAGTATGAAAGGGTTTAGGTATCTATGTAAAAGTAGTTGTAGTACTAGGCAAGGAGAGGATTTACCCGGAACACTCCCTACGTGTACTTTGTAGTTACATGCTATCTTTTTTAGCAGAGCTGCCTCATACTAGCGAGAAAGCAGCAAGCAGGCTGACAGAAACTGACTGATCTTTTGCGCGCGCGCGCTTTTTCAGCCGCCGAGCGCATGACGGTCTGGCAAGTCATGTCTTACGTCTCGCCATTCGAAGGGGGTGGTTTCCGGCTCTGGGGGCTTCCGGCGCCTGAGGTGAAACGGGCTGGAGAAACAGTCGATCTCGCCTCCGCCTAGACCACACGTCTTTTTTGAAAAAATCAGACGTATTTCATTCGATCCTGCGTTGCGAGCGCTTAAGAACTTTTTGCTTCTGAGCCTCTCAATGTAACGGCGGCGGGCAGAAAGCGGCTGGAGATGGACATCCACGTATCCATCATGTACTTATACTGTATGGATCATACTACGGGCGACTTATATACGCACGCGACCATTGTAGCTTTCTTGGTGTAACTCGACCCCAGCGCTTCGTTTACGTGGAGCCCTTTTGTTGCCCATGCAGGGAAAGGAGAAAAATGACTAGCAGGATGTCAATTGGCCGCAATCCCTTATTCTCCGGGTGCTTTATTTGTCGTGCGTGTCCGCTGGCCTGTTTCCGTCGTAACAACTGCTCCATGGCGTGTGTGGTGTCCTCTGATATCCGGCCCTGCGATGCTGTGCTGTTCCCGAACTAGATATGCACGCATCGGCTTCTGCATCGCAAGAGTCAGGCTTCCCGCCGACGCGATAGGAAGATGGACCCCCGTCGCTGCTGGGGCCTAGCAAGCGGCCTTGCATCTGCGGCGGCGCATGATTCCCCACGATGTATCGATAGGGCTCCATGCATTGGGTCGCGCCGCCGAAGGGGTTGCTTCGTACATACATAGACATGCACATGTACATGACATGGCATGGCATGGCATGGCATGGCCTGGCGTTGGCATGGCCTGGGGGATATCCACCGCTACGTGTTCGCTGCTCTGGACTAGGTACGCTAGCAGCTCGTAGTACTTGGAGTAGCGTTATTCGCTGTGACTCCTACGACTACTGTCGTTGGCTACGCTTATTAGCATGGGATTTTGGGATCTAGAGGGGGCCTTTAAGCGATGGGGGATGAGCGGGAGAAAATAAGGTGTGATCACGTTGTTGCGAGATGGCGACCCAAAGACGAGGTGAGTGGTGCCCAACCGGTGCAAACGTCGGGACTATGGGCGACGAGCCATTGAGGATCAAGTACCAATACAACCACGGGCAGAGATAAGGCAGTGATCAAGTCATGATGGTGTTGATGCTCCCGGCAGTAGTCGCAGTTCTAGGTAGCAGTAGTAAACTGTTCTTGGCAATCAAGCTATCGTCTATCGTCAATACCACGTTTTATTGATTTTAGGGGGAGGGGTTTCTTGCATCATGCTGCGGTATAAGGCGGATTTCATTCAGTGACTGCAGCTTGTGATCTCGGTCCCATTGACCAATGCTACGTCCACTTCTCTTCCCTTATCCCTCTTCCTCCTCGCTCCCGTCTCGTCCAGCTCAAAGCCAATCTGGCCTCCCAGAGTGAATACAACCCTCAGTCAGCATTAGAATACACTACGACCGACATCACGTCACGCCCGCTACGCAAGGCCGACACCGCTTTCGGAGAAGGGTCAATAGTGCAACACTTGCAAGCACAGTCACTCTACTGTACTAGGCCCCAGCCCCCCGGGAAGGGAAAACCAGACCAAGGCCAGACCAAGCAATAAGGGTCACAGGCCAACGGTTGTACTGCGACTTTTCGTATCCGTACCCAGTCCCATCAGGTTAGTACCGACTAATTCGCTATCAAGGCCGCTCTGGCATCTTGCGGGCTTTGATTGGAAATCGGAAATGATGGGACAATGCGTCTCGCCTTCGTATCTCTTGTCTGGCTGCCCAGTGAGTGGTTCACTCAAACACAAGGGGGCCACGGATAAAGAGGCCCAAACGGCCGCATCTCAAGTCCCTTCTTTTCTTTTCTTTTTGCAGTATCACCGCAACTCACACACGTACATGTACGTCTAGGGCGTCTTGCTTTTTAAAATACCTACCCAGCTGCTGCTTTGCTTGCGTTCAGCTGCTCCCTCCAGTCCCGGCCGCAAGTCCAGACGGGCCCCGCCACCAAAAAGAGAGACCCTTGCCTGGCTTGTACTTGCACCCCGGTGCGGCTGTTTCTCTACTATTGTCTAGGCACGGCGGTATAAACTGATCACGCATACTCGTGATATAGCCGAGGTGACCATTGCTTCATTCTGATCATCCAAGTGGGAATTAATTCATTTCCCGCTTCCACCTGCACTCAAATTTCAAAACTTCAAATCAGGTACGTTTCAAAAAACGGACAAAGAAGCAGAGAGAACAGACAAGAGCCGGAAAATGCCAAACCTCAAAAAGAGCACCGGATCAGGCAATGGCGCCCCCATTCCCCGTTTCAACTTACTATGCTCGCACCCCCCTCTTAGGGGGAGAAGAAGCTGAAGAAAAGAGATTCCACCCGAGTCTCGCTCGTCCTTCTTTTCTCTTCTAAAGCCACTGAGAGGGGCGATCCGTCCGGGAGGCAAATTCACACACCCCCGGGGCTGGCTGGGACTTGGAGCGGCGGCGTATACTCCACCGGACCACCGGGTGTGAGTGGCGCCTCGCTCGCTGAATGACTTGGGAATCCTCTTGTCTTGTCGTTTCCCCCTTGCTGGCCTGCGCTTGGGTCGTCACTCCATTCGCATATAAAGCCTCGCGCCATCCGCTGTTCGCAAGGTCGCTGACTCAAAGTTCAGGTTTCCTTTTTCATTCTCATCGACGCCAATCCTCCCTCACTCACTGTCGGCTCTCCCCCTTGTGTCTTGCTATTATTAATAGAAGGCGTCTCGGCCACTACTTAAACCACCGTCCTTGACAGAACACTCGTTGGCATCGCATCACACGACACGAAGCCGCCTTTTTCAGACTACATTCGGCCTCGGCTACATATTCACTACCCTCACAGACATCTTTCTCACACACGCCCATCATGCCTTCTAAGAAGCTCCGTTGCAACGCCAAGGACTGCCGAGAGGCTGCCCAGCGCATCGTTGGAGACTGCACATTCTGCAATGGCCACTTCTGTGGCAAGCACCGTCTGTTGGAAGATCACAAGTGCAGCGGCCTGGAAGACGTAAGTTCTGCTCTACTGTATTCATCTTCGGAGTATCACCAGAGTCTAACGCATGTATTAGTGCAAGAAGCAGTCCCATGCACGCAATGCTGCCCAGCTGGAAGCTGAGAGGACGCAGGTCATCCGAGGCGTCTAATTCACACCCTTGCCAACCTCCCAACGGCGATCGACCAACAAACCACCTGACCACCTAATTACCGCATGTCCTACGGTTTTTCATACACTTCGATTTTACCCAACATTTTCCTATACATACCTTGATTTGGCGCTTGCATCGGCCCAATTCAAACTCACGGACCACGATTACATGAATATTCTTTCTGATCTTTATTTGGAGCGATACGGGGTTGACACGGCGAGGAGAAGTCTGGGGTTCTTGTCTTACTCTGAGGACAGAGAGTGAAGCAAGACGAGACGGTGCTATCAGTGCCCTCCGCACCTTTTTTGTATATTTCTACCATTTATTATTTTTCACTGGTGTACTGTTTTGGTCGGAACAGCTGCGGCTTTTGGATCGCACGGAGTATTAGGCATGTTTCATCTA